GTTTGGCGATTTTTCCAAGTCCTTGATTGTTGAATAAGTTGGTATGTGGTCACATCCATGAGTTTATAGTCTGCGAACCACTTAAGCTTTCCATTTTGCTTCGTGACACAAATGTCAAGTCAAAGCAGCTGTTGTATATCGTTCCCCGTAGAAACGTTGGGCTTTCGTCGTTTACACAAAGCAGCTGCTGCTCCAGAGCAAAGGAGAATACTTGCCTTTCGCGACGGTCTGTCTTCTGACTTCCCCATAGTGGGTGGTGAGCGTCGAAATCTTCGGTGATGATCCGTGGTTCATGTGTGGCTGTTAGCAGTGCACGTAGTCTTGCAGGTTCAAAACGACTTGAAGGTGATGTGTATGCGCCTACGAGCGTGAAATTGAGGTCTCTATGTTTTACTGTCAAGCAGACATACTTGTTGTCTTCGTGAGGTTTTACACGGTGCTCGATATAGGTAAGGTCGCATCTGATATATACAATGACTTTGCTCTGTTCGTTGCAGGTAGCGGACTTGAAGGCTTCGTACCTGGATAGTCGTATTGCATTGTGTAGCCGTGGCTCGACAGATAACAATAATTGGAAACTGGTTTTTAAACACAAATTGTAGGATATCAGAAATACGGGGCATGAGGCCTCGGGCATTCCACTGAAATATCGAAGCTTCTTTGACTTCTTAACGAAAGGCTTGCAGAGGCGGAGCCATGGTGCCTTTCCAGACTTGATAGCACCGGCTTCAGCGCATCCACTAACTGAAGTGCACTCTTAGCAGCCGGACTGTCAATGCTAGTGAGGAGCATACGAATGGTATTCATAAGGGCCTTTACCATGGCTACGATTTCTTTATCGCGACTATCACCGACATTCTCGTTCCGAAGTGACTGTAGACGATCGATGCGGTGGCTCAAACGGCGGGTCTATCCTTGGCAGCGCTGGCCATGCTTCAGGCGAGCCGGTGATGCTCTTGTCTTGCTTGAAAGATTTGTTGTCGGCGTGTCTGGATGCTTGAGGTGGTATGCCGGTGATCATTTGGTAAGGTGCAGTCCTTGCTTCGGCCCTGGATGTCCTCTGCGGCCTCCGGCGACTGAGACCGCCGGCGTTGTACTTGGGCAGCGGCCTGCCTGTGAGTTGAGCCATCCCGGACCATTTGCCTCAAAACTTGCATTTCCTTTTTCATGATTGGGCAATCTTTTGACGATGCTTCGTGAGGGCTATGACAGTTTTGACATTTTGGAAGTTCTGCCTGGGAAGTGTCTGCGCTATGCGATTCTGAGCATAGCGACCACACAGCCAGGTTTGTACAAACAGCACTGACATGTCCCAATCTATAACATTTCCGGCAATGAAGGGGCTTCGGTACAAAGGGTCGCACTGTGTGTCGAAAATGGCCGACCTTGACTTGCGATGGAAGGCTGTCTTCCTTGAACACGAGCTTCACGCAGAGTGATTTGCCAAGGCGACGAGCTTGCAGTATGGTAAGTTCTGCAGACACCGGTTTGATGAGAGCAGCAAAGTCACTTTCGCTGATGGAAATGTCGACATCGTAAATGACGCCAGCAGTAGAGTCGCGGCCATCAGGTATGTATGAGTGAACATTGATGTTATCCAACATCTTGACGTTGCTCAGCACTTCCAATGTGCTTCGTTGAGTGACGTCTTCAGCGAGGATATTATTATGGCCATTGATCCGCACGTCCGCGATCTGTCCCTGGGCGAGTTCCCTAAAAGACGTAGACGTGGCTTGACGATTGAGCCGGTTGAGACTATGAGCCACATCAACCGGCACAAACCGAATTGTGTATATTGTGGGCTCTCGCATCTTCGTCGCATTCTTACTTGTTGATGGTGACGGTATCACTAGTCTTTTTCGCTGCCGCCTTGTCACATGCACGAAGTCGCCTTCATCGGAGCTTTCGTCGCTGGCCGTAGAGTAAATCAGCGTGTCCTCGCTGTCGGCAACACTAGGGTGGCCCGTACGCTTTCTCGTGGTAGCTGCAGACGACGTCGGTGGTTGCGGTGGAAGCCCAGGCGAATCCACGTCCATCGCCGCAGTCACTGGAACGGTGTCTTCCACAGAGCCACAGAAAACATTGAAAAATTACAGATACTGACAGCAGTGTTCTACGCCAGAATCACTTCGTCGTTATCATCAAAGGTTTCCTATGTGGCCGACAGCCTGCTTTGAAGAACTGCCAGCCTAAATAGGTTTATTTCACTTGTAGTGGTCCAGATAAGTTGGCAGTAATATCCCAAAGACTGTGCTTTCAACTTCAATACGCGGCTAGCTAACCAGGCAAGGCATACCGCAAGCCCCGCCGCGGTGGTCTAGTGGCTAAGGTACTCGGCTGCTGACCCGCAGTTCGCGGGTTCAAATCCCGGCTGCGGCGGCTGCATTTCCGATGGAGGCGGAAATGTTGTAGGCCCGTGTACTCAGATTTGGGTGCACGTTAAAGAACCCCAGGTGGTCAAAATTTCCGGAGGCCTCCACTACGGCGTACTCTCATAATCATATGGTGGTTTTGGGACGTTAAACCCCACAAATCTAATCTAAGAGATACCGCAAATTCTTGATAGGCACTTCAGAAGGGCTTCATGTGCTCGCCCAGAAAGCAGTAAATAACAATAGTTGTTGTTCTCCTACTGTTTATAAAGTTGTCAATTGATGAGAAAGAGAGAGAGAGAGGGGGGAATATTTTATGAAGAGCGGAAGATGTTTGGCTTCTCGCCTGACATGCTGCTCTAGGTACTTGCCTATTACTGTGATATATACAGATGAATAATCACCAACTGTTGCTTTGGTGTACGTATAGACTGATTTGATGAATCTCACAAGTATTTAGTGAAGTAACCAAGACAGTCGTGTAATCAGCATAGAACAAATAGCAGAATAGTACACAAGCCATTTAAGTAGCAATATCTCACTTCCCAAGTATTCAAGTTACCTTGATGTGTAGCAGGTGTTACAGAATAACATTTATAGAATTATCTCAGTAATATTGTAGGTATTCCTAAGGTTAGCACAGAATGTACCTTTATGCGGTGGTTTATCAGGGCGGTATGTAATAGGGCAAGAAATTCGCAGTGATCACCAAATGAAATTACTTAGTGGGCCTCAAATATAACCCCTTGAGGCGCGAATGATAATGCAATGTCTAGGAATGTGTTAAATTCATACAGCTTATCTTCAAGGCTCCCGTAATACTTGCCAATAAACTGTTACACTTTGTTGTGAGTTTCAATCATAAATTGTTAAAAGCTTGTAACTATGTGGTTCAATAATTTCTCGTCTGTTGTGTTTTATTTTCATATAAAAAGAATAAAAAGGTAGGCTCCAAATGTGTGTGGAATGCATTCATGATTGTGTTCGTTTAGAAAATAGCAAAGCAATAGTTTGGACGTTAGTTCTGAGACGCAGCACGCCAAAGAACCCGTCTAACATTGTAGTGCCTTCGATCAATGACCGCTCACGGTCATGCGCGGCTCACTGGATTGAGCCAAGTCGTGCTGACTGCGGAGAAAGTTCAGTTCATCCAATGTGAGTGTGTCCCTTTTCGCCACAAGTAGACATAATCAGCATAAATCAGTTACGTACAAAAGATCATAGCATATCTACGGAGTGAATGATGATGACTGGGGCGAGGCACCGGAGGGTTTTATCGGTAAACCATCAATCATCTGTCCATCCGTCTCTCTGTTTTTATGTGTATGTGTCTGTGTGTCTGTCCATCCGTCTGTCTTTCTGTCTGTCTGTCTGTCTGTCTGTCTGTGTGTATGTATGTATGTCCATCCGTACCTCCGTCTGTCTGTATGTGCGTCCATCCGTCTGTCTGTCTGTCTGTATGTTTGTCTGTCTGTCTATCTGTCTGTCTGTCTGCCTGCCTGCCTGCCTGTCTGTCTGTTCGTTCGTCCGTCTGTCTGTCTGTCTGTCTGTCTGTCCATCTCTTTCTCCGTCCGCACCTGCTGAGTGAGTCATGAAACTAGGTGGCCGCGTACGAGCTAGAAGGAGCTTGCCCACGGATTTAGGAGCTTTGTCCCTTAAACAGAGCCGTCGCCACTGAAGGGAATAAGGTGAAGTAGTACGTCTGAGATACCCGTGATAATGAAAAGTTTTTTCCTGGTAAGGCAGGGCGTTGTCGATAGATAATAATTTTGCGAGAACAGTAGAAAGGAAGTTCTGTTTATAATAACGCTATAGCGTTAAAGAGCTAGTTTCGTTAAAATTCTGGTGAAAGTGACGGCATGGCGTAGGTGTGGGCACCATCGGTGGTGAGCGCAAAATAAGCTTTTCAGTCATCGAAAGACCAAGAAAGATGCAAACAAAAAATCATGAAAGCTTCCGATTCCAGTGAGCATCGAACACAGGACGTTGGATTGGCATGAAGATGTGCGACCACACAGCCACACGTGCGCTTGGATGCACTGTATTATGCAGTGAGAACAACGTTCTTGGATTACAAACACGCGTCTTATGTATACAGACTTCACAATACAACAGCTAATACCACAATAATACTGAGGACTACAAGCGTACATTGCCGTCGGGCAACAAAGCATGTTATCACACCGACGTCAGTGCATAAACGACGGTCACCAATCACAAAAGACGCACACCGTACTGAGCACATTCTTTCAAGACCACGTAGTGGGTTCACAACAAGTTCTGAAACATTTAACCTGCATACTTGCTCCTGTTGAAAAGCGTCCTTGCCGATTGAAAAGAATGCAGCCACGTAAGGAAGCTTAACCCAGACAAAGCAGTTTCAACCTTAATGATTCCATTGTAGTAACTCAGAATTTCAGCTTGTCAAGCAACATCACACACTAACATTAAGCACTCAGTTGATAAAGAACAAACTATGGTTGTGGTGGAAACATTTCTTACTTAATTTGTAGAGAGAGGTATGAAGGGGGGAGTCTGAAGGACAGTATATCGCTAATGCATTCAACGTTTCAAAGTGAAGCTTGAGTTTCCTCTAATTTTTATTTATTAATATTTTTATTTGTGCAGGTTAAAGTGATCCAACCATGCGGATGGCTGATCAAGTGGAAGGTTTCTTGGTAAACAAGTCGTAGTTCCGACCCGTCGGTAATGTCCCAAGCCGCTAAATAAAAAGGATAGAATAGTTGGCCTGAGATTACCTTAACAATTGCATACTTTGATCGGTACTTCCCCTCCGCTGCAAATTACACTTGTGTAAACTCTCACCTAGTCTACCCAAGAGAGGTAATTGCCACAGATTATTAGGCAGCAGTGTTACATGCCCATCTACTTATATATACGTGCATGCTAAATACCAACGTGGTGAAAAATTTCGCAGCGCTCGACTACGGGAACCTTCATAGTCAGACCGTGATTTTTACACACAAAAAAACCAAGTATTGTTATTATTATGATGGTGATCACCATTGAACCCATGTTAGGTCTGTAGGACACCACTAGCTTGTCGGGAGCGTGGTTCAGTCGACGAAATATCAGAAAACAATGATAGGGCGGTTGGTATTTGATATGCTTTGTCGCTATTGCTAATATTTTATCCTATATTGACTAGGCTGAAATTAAGTTTCTCTTATGCTTGCAACTAAAGATTGCTTCAGTTGTAACGTACAAACAAAACAAAAGTTAGGTGGTAATAACAGTCAATCGATTGATATTGAATACGTCAGTTTGAGAGAAACAAACGGCACATTGCGGGGAGACGACAGGAAATGAAAGTTTTAGATTGGCGCACGGTTTATTTATTTATTTATTTATTAGAACACCCTCAGGGCCCGTAGGGCATTACAGAGGGGTGGGTACAACATTTATAACACACAAGAAAAAAGAGATAAAATAAAGAAACAAGTGTCAGATGCGCAAATCAGGAAGGCAACATAAGTCAACTAAAAATGTATAAGTAAGAATTCAAGCACATACAAGACAAAGATAGATAATGGAAACTGCGTATAGTTACAAGCATTGCTGAGAAATTGCAGTCTTGAATAACAAAGGGTCTGTTATTGTTACAACGGAAGAGGGAAGGTGGTTCCAATCGGCGGCTGTTTTCGGTAAGAAGGCTGCTGAAAAGAATTTGGTGCGGCAAAACGGAATGGCAACCTTATGCTGGTGATCAATGCGCGATGAGTGGTATGACGGTTGTGAAATGAGGTCTCGCTTCATTGATGGATTGTGAAAAAATATTTTATGAAAAAAATGCAGTCGCACCAGTTTCCTCCGGACAGTTAAATTGGGTAGGTCAAGGTTAGATTTCATTTCTGATATGCTAGCAGTACGGGAATAATTAGAACAAATGAACCGAACTGAGCGGTTCTGAACAGATTCTAACGCGTTAATTAAATTTTGCTGCACGGGATCCCATATAGCGGACGCGTACTCAAGCTTTGGGCGAATTAGTGATCGGTATAATAGAATTTTGAAGGACAGCGGAGCACGAGAAAAGTTGCGGCGTATGTATCCTAGCGTTCGGTTAGCGTTATTACAGATGTAGGTAACATGCGTGTGCCAAGGTTACTTAGCGTTTGTTGTATAATTTAAGAGAGGCACCCATGAGAATAGTGTGTGATGTGGTGACAAACGCAAAGCTTTGCGTATGACATTCTACCATTCTTCACTACTATATTACTTCCGTTGGCTTACGCCAGCAAGGTTAAATAGTGCTTGAGTACAGCTTGCTGAATCATAGACATACAAGTTTATTGCTTATCAGGCTCCTGAAAATTTTGTGCCTACATTTGAGACACAACAGGCGTTATCCGACATGACGCCTGTATCCTAGGAGGAATGCGCAGTGTTTACTGCTTTGTTGTGAAATTTGATAGCCAGTACTGCAACCGCAATTGACGTTGCACCGACATTACGCCTGCATGAGGTCTTCTTTTAAAGCAATTTAAAGATCCGGCGTGGTTTGGCGCTGCTAGTACAAGAGTGGCGTGGCCAGTGCAAACACTGGTAGGACATAGAGTAACATAGTAAACACAGAGTGGTCAATGGCTGCCTGTCGCGGCCCAAGGCTGTAGAGTCCTGCCGCCTGTTCCTACCTTGCACAGACTGCATTCTCCGGTCGCATTTGGTACCTTTCTCACGTCGTGCAACCATATTTAGGTATCGTGCGATAACTGCAGTCTGCCTTGTGTTCCTTTTTATTGTCAGGCGGCATTGAGTTGGTCTCTCGTGCGGCATTGGGACATCAGCGTTCTTAGGGATGCTTGCTTTTGTCTTCAGTGTTCATATGCTGTCGGCTGCTGGCAATGTACTTCATTTTGCGCCTAATGCAAGGGAAAGAATCTCCCGCAAGAACGCTTGCATATTTCTCTCTGGATACTCACCTTCAGCATTTGATGCCTAATGTGCACCTTAATAGGGGGCCACAGTGAATAAGGCTTTTTTCGTCTTATGCAACAACTGTTGCATTTTTTCGCCACGTCTAGTCGACCTGTCCTGACAACAAGATGTGCTTAACAACCATGTAGTCGAAGCAACTGCTGCTTTGTTGCTTCCGTTGGTTCGTCCAGCCCACCGTGCTCACTCTAGTCGGGTGTGTTGGAGCACATTAATGGCTTCTTTCCTGCTTGGACACCTCCGAAACTTCATGTGGTGCCTGGGATGGGGTGTGCTTTCCACTCTCGACCGCGTCGAAAGGTGGAGCTTGGTCCAGTCAGCAACATGTACCGAACTGCTTCCTTCGGGAAACGAATCAGCATTATCTGAAGCATTTAGTCATTGCTCGTGTTTTTGGAGAGCCGTATGGCGCGTTCACACATGAGGAATGAAGAGAAAACGAAAACGCCAGAGCGGCCGGAAAACCACGACTGCGTGCGTTAAATATGTCCACTTTCGTTCTGCCCCATCCCATCGCCGCTGCCTTCGCTACTTTGACAATCATTTCGATTTTGCCTGCTTTCTGATAACCACAGTCTGTGTTCTAGTTATTGAGACAAAGTATTGAAAAGAAACAGCTTGCACCTCTTCAAACGTTGTTTTTGGAGATACGCCAGCAGAAATGACACGATCGAACGCGCTGGCGGCACTGTTCAGCCACTTGTACACAACAGCGAGACATCTCGGGGCATGCCTACTGGCTGCCGCTGCACTGTGTACTGCCAGAGTTTTCGGCGATCATAATCCAAGTCAGGCTCTCGATGAACGCGTCCTCGCTGAGGCCACCAACCTTCGTCGTGCTGCACGGAAAGTTTTCGATTTGAGCCGATGCGAGTCACCACTGACGCCTGTGCCGCCTTGTTAAATCTGCGGACGGCTGGTTAGGTCACGTGGTTGGATTTAGTGCAGCCAATGCTGAGAAGCGGAAGCCAGATCCGGTTTCGCGGAGTGGGAACTTTGCTCTCTAACCGATTCTTGCGCGCCGGCCCCGCGGCCTGGTTTTCCGGCCGCTTGGTCGGTGAAACAAGCCAGTTTCCGGAAAGTTTCGCTTGTTTCACTCTCTTCGAGGCCAAGTGTGAACGCGCCTGTACATGCTGGATTTCGCTGCCTCACAGTAAATCGCTTCGTTCCTTATATATAGGCGTTGTTCTTGAGGCAGTTTCGCTTGTCTTCTCATTGTTGCCGGTTTTTTCTGCCTCTGGTGCAACCGCTTCGAGGCGTTGTCAGCAAGCCACCGCCGCCGCGCGCTCTTCTCGATCCTTTAGCGATTGTACTCGGATCTGCTGTCTGTTTTGTCTGAGGAGCAGTTCTGCCTCGGTGAAGACGAATTTCTTCGGCACTGGTCTTGCTCTTTTGTGTCAGTCTGTGACAGATGAGTGAAATTTTTCTTAGGGCCGGCCTGGTAGCGCTGGGCTGATGTGTCGATGAACCAGCAGAAATGACATGCCAACGTGTTTATTTTTCAAATCTACATATTCACGTTTCACTTGTGCCTCATGTTTGCCTTGCAATAGTCATTAGTGTATCTGTTCCTTTGTTACAAATTTTTGTGTGGCTGTGTTTGTGTGAATCATCGAATGTACATGTTCTTTCCACGTCAATATCTCATTGCCTTTCACGTTAACTTTTTCCAAAAACATGTGTTACGGACATCCCAAGGACTTGGCAAGTTTTGTCATAATTTTCCACGCTACATTGTGCTTACTCGTGTTGTGTGCGTTCATTACTGTCCGTGTTGTACAGACACTATCTCCCCTTGTCTCTTTCATACTACGTCGAAGCAAACATTTTCTAAACTCAGAAAGTCACTAGCAGACCCTGCCTGCTTCAGCGTTGCGAAGCAAGAGATGGAGGTGCAGAGAAGAAATAGGGGGGACGCGCATGCACACTGGGGGTGTAATGCCGAAGGGAGGATGCCTAGAGGAGAAAAAGGGAAGAATAAGCGTAGGTTAGCAGACAGTCCCTGCGTCGGCATTGCGAGGTGAGGGAATGAGAGCTTACGAGATGAGAGAGAAGTAGAGCGGACGTGCACGCGCAGCAAGGGTAGTCACGCCGCACATCGGATACAGCTCGACCGTAAGCTGTTTCGCATCTAAAAAGTAAGAAAAGTAATCAGATGACGTGGCACGGAGTATCGGACCGCTTCACAACGTGTCAAGTGGTGTGTGGCCTTCCTAGTGTTTTTGTGTTTATTTCAATAAATGGGAAGAGTCAACCTATGCAACACCTCTACTTAGTTATTAAATGGGAACCATGCATTTCTTAGCGAACTTTGGCGACTTTGAGCGTATCTATCTATCTATCTATCTATCTTGGCACTTACGTTTGGGTGCTCTCGTGGTCATCCCCTCAACTTGGCGTGAACCAAAATTAGCATATGAGGGTAAGATAGTTTGACGATTATGATGCGCTGGTCAAGACATGAATAATGTCACAAACTTGTTCCGTACGTCGTCAAACGCTTCCTACCAGACAGTGGCACATATTCACGGGCGGGTATGTGCCGCTGGTAAGAGGGTATGTGCCTTAGGTGATTGACACTTAGTGTCTACCCAGGAATGACGAGACCACACACAGGAAACTTCAACACGTGAGCGTTAAGCAATACCCGACATCGGTAGCGTCGCCCCAACCAAAGCATGGAATAAATGTCAGTGTTATAGAAAACCAGACATAGGCAGCGTTGGCCACTCGACGAATGCAAATAATAAATTCCCGGGTCCCAGCAGGAATCGAACCCAAGTATTCTGCGTGGCAGTCAAGTGT